AACACGACTCATTCAAAGGGGCATCCTGCAGGAAATGAAAGTTTTAAATTCGGTACTGTAATGTTCATCCTTACAATTCAGTCCAGCGTTGGGTCTTGAAGTTAGATTTTTGCCAATTAAAGATACATTTTGGGAATAATCTTGATTTGGGATTTCTCCTGAAATAAAAAAAAGTCTGTTTTCAGGCCTTTTACTATTCTGATTCGGTTAACTATACTTTGGTGTCGCTACTTTCCTTTCCAACTAGCAGACAGGCAAAGTTAGCAACTAGCTGGTGAACATGGTGCATCTTTTAGCAGCTACACAGCTATATTTTCCTCAGGAGTTGTTAGCGAGCAAAACAGAACTAAAAGAGATGGAAATTAGACTCACATATGGCCAGTAACCACGTGCTAATTAATGCTAATGTTGCTACATATGTATCTGCTGCGTGATTATGAATCCAGCTGCTTTTCTTGGCTATATCCGCCTTGTGTAGCTTGATGATTCACAGACTAGTGGTTATGGTTAGGATAGCCCATTGGTCAAGGCGTAGAACATTATCCAACAGATGACCTGTGTTTTGGAAAAGTGGACTTCTGGCCAATCCTATTGCGCTAGAATGCTACGCAGGATGGGTCTCGCCTTTAAAAGCGACGGGATTCATAATCACACATAGCTGTTGGACTAGTAAGTGAGCAACCTTGTGAAAAAGTTTTGTTAAAAGCTTTTTTCTACAGCCCTGGGGAAAATAAGTTTTTGCACGTAAAAATAAAACATTTAAAAAAGGAAGATCTGACATTTCTTCCAGTAATGTTCTCAATCAATTCAATGACTAATGTTTACAGGGAAAATCCACCGAAAACAGATGAGCTTGTTATCACTACTATAAAAAACAACTTCAACATTTCATACTCTCTGTTTGTGTATATGTGTGTGGTTGCATTTCAAACCCCCACAAGGGAGATTATGGGATGATGATTAGTCTTTCTTTGTACTTAGTTTTTCCTTTGAGATCTTAACATTTTTGGACCAGTATTTTATATCTTGCACTAACAAAGAGGATAGTTTGGAGGAAAAATAAGCGGCCCCTGTTGCTTTTTCTGTAGATAACACTCTTCCAAAAGAAATACAAAACACCTTTACATTAGAGCAAGAAGAGAATGTGTTTAGCATGGAAATGTTGTTGAAGTTAAAGTGTGTTTAATTGACAGACTGAGGCAGTCAGATGAGAGATAGGTAGATTGATACATAGATACATAAATAGATGGATATGTAGCAAGTCAAGGGTAGGAAAAAGGAGCAATAAAACATGATGGAGGGAGAGAGAAGTAGAAAGTAGTGAGGAGACGAGGTTAATCCAAACAGACGTGTGCCAGGTTATTTTTACGACAGTCCCATCAGCCATTATCTGCCTGCTCTGTTATGGTTAGGGATAAATACAGACCTGGGCAATACCGAGGAGGGGCAGATTTGTGACTGTGTGAATGGTTTAGCGTCTGTGTAGTAATGTGTAGTTTTGTGAGCATGTCGTCCCTCTCCTTCTCTCTGGCTCTCATCCACTGCAGCAGCCAGGGAAGATAACCACAACAGTTTATACCATTTCATCAGACAGTCTTCTGGCGATTTTAGCCCTAATGGACACAGAACAGAACTGGCCGTTTTATCTTCTTGCTCAATAAAAATCTCAGGGCCAGTCATGAGACTCTCTGTCTACTAAACTAAATAAATATCTACCAATTTACTGAGCTGAGTGGAGAAAAAAGAAAGGTTTTAGAGGGGTCTTTGTGTTAGGCAAAAGTGAAGTGCAGGGGAGTTTTCTGGGAAACAATTGTGTGAGGGAAAGAGATGACTAAAACGTGGTTATGATATCATGATATCTGGCATCAGTCTCTCGTCTGTAAGCTCTCCAAACACCTGTGTTTAAGGCGTGGAGTGAAGATAAACGAGGGGTTTAAAGTAAGACATACAATGAAATGAATCTGTATGTGTGCGTTCACGCATCTGTTTGAAAGATGTAGCGTTATGTGTATTTAAAAGACCTTTCACTATTTTTATCATTCGATGCTTATTTAAACATGCATTTCAGTGTTTCCTAGCCGAAAATGCAGCATTTTAGTTCACACACACCTGCGGCCTCAGGGAAAGCCTGAGGCCAACAAACGTGTGTTGTTTAGGCGAGGGTGCCTCATCCCATCTGGCTATGTGAGTGTCGGTGCAAAAGAGCAGAGGTGACGGTGAGTTTGAAGCTGCAGAGAAATGATCTTCAGCGTTTATTATCTTTAATTAGCATCCAGGGGGGAAAAAGATGGATAAGGACCACCATTTCGTTGATAAATCTGCTCTGTGTTTTTCCCTAAAAGAAGAAAGAGTGTAGTAAAAAAAAAGCAGGAAAAACAGACTGAGGCTTCGTCATTCCTAAAAAAGTCCGATCATGGTATGAAATGTCAGTTTTACAAATGTTGACATTGGCCCTTAAACTGAACGCTACAGTTTTTTAAGGCTTTGATAACACATTTGGCCAATATTGGAAGTAAAAATAGCTTGCATTAAATCAACTAAAATGGCGCTATAGGAGATCGAGGACTTATGCCAAGAAGGTCTGCAGAAAGGGGGTGTCAAAGGGCAACGATGATCCCGGTTAAAGGTACCTAAGATCTATGGTCACATTGACAACTACAAAACTGTCACGAAGAAGCTGTTAGCCGCTACCTGGCAACACAATCCCATGTGGCTAAATATGTTATCAGTAATTGTTTGATTAAGGAAGCAAAGTGAGACAATAAAGAGTACACCAACATGTTTGCTGACTTTCAAAGTTTCTGACCTGAGGAGGCATTCGGAGGCATGTTGCCCACTTTCAAAATGGGCAACAAATAGTTAACTACTGAGACACACACTTCACACCTCTTAAGATACAGAAGGCTGCTGTCAAATAAATAAGCAAAAAAGTAAATACATATCAAAAACAGCTGGACAACGGCTGTTACGCTATTATAACGAGGATCAGCAAGAAACAAGGAATTGTATTTACACACGTGTGAGAGAGTGTGTGTGTGTGTGTGTGTGTGTGTGTGTGTGTGTGTGTGTGTGTGTGTGTGTGTGTGTGTGTGTGTGTGTGTGTGTGTGTGTGTGTGTTTCACAAGAAACAGCAATGTAACATTAACATGATGGTGTAACTGTTATTACAAAACTCAATAACCTTGTTTAAAAAACAAGAAGAAGAAGAGCAGCAGGATTAAGATAGAGTTTTTAAAAGAAGAGAGAGAGCACACAACTCATTTCACCACTGCTCAGTCTGCATGTCCTTTGAAATAGCAAATATTTGTAAAATAGGACCGAATCATGAGTGAATTAGCAAATGATAGTTTATTAACCTTTATGGCAGACTCATCTAGGTGTTTGGGTGGGTGATCTGACCATTTTAGATGGTAATGGATCACAAACAAACTTATATTCAAGCATATCATAGTGATGTCCTTTTATTTCTGTTTCAAAACTGAAAATGGCCGTATTAACTAACGGATGTGAACAAACAAATAAAGTAGTCAACTATAGCTCTGCTGATTGGACAAATTACTTTATGTGAATCTTTCTCTGATGATTATAAACAATGCAATTTACATTATAGCCAGTGGATGAATAGCTTGTGCCAAAAAAGAACTGAGTGTCAGTGTTATGGGTGAGGCGATGCAAACCAAAAATGATCTGACTTATATCATATTAATGATCTGACTTATATCATATTAAAATGGTTGCGTTAAAATCCATTTACATTTACAATCCATTTACTTGTTTGCAACAAGGCGTCATTGCTTTCTGCTATGGTTGGTAGAGAGATGGCCCTTCTTCTCTTATGTTGAGTTTATCCCTCTGAATGATTGAACACAGTTACAATGGCACATCTTACTAAATGTTTCCACCGCTAATACGAGTTTGCTAATATTATAAAAGTCAGTTTATCTGGCAACAATATATAGTACTGATGTGAGGACTGGAGTGAGGAGTTTTTCTCATAACTGCCTGCAGTGTGGTGTGTCATCAAAGAAATATGTAAGACCATGCACTTGCACTGTGGCATTTAGCATGATAAGCTAATAATCAAATGCTACAGCCAACATTTAGTACAGATTCCAATCAGCTCACATCTGTTTGTGATTATGCCGTAAAGGTAAGGTGCTATTGTGTCTGTCCTCTGCTACTAAGTGGAGCTGTCTGTTTGCTGCACCGGAGCTTGGGTCACATTCACACGCACACACACACACACACACGCACACGCACACGCACACGCACACGCACACACACACACACACACACACACACACACACACACACACACACACACACAAGAAACACGTGCACACACACTAATGAGCTAATATACACACACACACACACACACACACACACACACACACACACACACACACACACACACACACACACACACACACACACACACACACACTTGTCTGCTTCCTGCCTTGGGATTTGGGGTTCCGAGGATCTTAGGGGTTCCCTTGAGACATTGA